GCATGCTTCAGACCCCCATTTCAAAAATCACTAAAGGAAGTCTTATGGAAATGAAAACAATTACCACTAAAGAAATCACAGAAAACAAAAACTAAAATTTCAGAACACATCAGTATTGCTATGCCTCGGAAAATGTTGCATTTTTCATTATTTTCTTGGGATATTGTCAATTTCTCTTTATCACATCTAATCAATTGTGTCTCTTGCTTCCAGGGTTGGATAAAGATCAGGAACAAAATATGGATTCATTAATCATAGTGTTCTCCCTCCAGAACAGACCACTCAGACAATGAAATTGATGAGATATAACTCTCTTCTCTTTCCTGTGCTTGTTTTAAGGCCTTTTTTCCCCATGTGTGCATGTACCTACACCACCATAAAGTGTATTTTAAGTAAAGTGAAGCTCTTTTCTCAAGAACTAATGTTCTTAAAAAGAAGTCAACACAGTTCAGTAAAAAAGATGGTAACTAGTGGGACATGACAAAATCCTTTTTCAGGGGAGAGGAAAAAAAAAAAGCTTGAAATCCAGGTTTGTAAAACCTGCTGTTCTCACAGTGCTGGCCATCTAATGCACACTTGGGTTTTCTGTCTGCAAGGGTCTCTGGACAGCACAAGTGCAGTCTTCAGCAGTAATTCCTCAAAGTGTAGAGTTATGGACTGATGGTTCATGCTTTTAGGAACAGAATTCTGTTAAGAGTTGCAGTCCTCATGCCTTGCCATGCTGGCATACTGCTTGCCATGCTGCCCAGCAGTAATAAAGGAGCATCAGAATGCATTAAATGCAATTATGGGACTTACTGAGAATCTCAAAATTTGCCAGGAGGTAATACACTACAAAAGCTGCTCCAAATATAGTACATAAGCATACATGCTCCAAACTCACTGAGCTGCGGTGAAAGTACCTTACATTAAAGGAGTTAAAGAATATAGTAATTATTTGTGAAAGAATAAATTAATCCTGCCACGTTTTCCTGATGATTGATGGAGATATATATATATATTTTTTTGTCACTCTTGGCTGCCACTTTTATCTTTTATATTCGGCAACACCACCAGATAGCAGTAATCATTAACAAGCTTGATCCTGCCCAAACTGGAGTAACACTGCTAGTTGTGCTCAAAGGGAAGTGAAAATGGGTCCCCAAATTAAGGAAGAACAATAATCCTTGTGATAATAAGATAAGGCTTCAGTGTTCTTGTCAATTGTGCTTTGTGTGGCTTTATTTGCCTTAGGGAGATGATGTTATGGGGGCATGTAAAAAGAGTATTTTGCTCATCCACATCAGACATGCAGCTGCCATTTCTGACGTAAATAGAGAGGCCATATCATCAGCAGTGTAAATTGTAAAATCTACGCTGTAAAGCTGCTGATTTATAGGGATTACCTGGCCTGGAATTTGTAGTTCCAACATTGACATTAGGTTAATGATTCTCTTCGAATCATGGAATCATAAAGAAGTTAGGGTTGGAATGGAGCTTAAGATCATCTATTTCCACTCCCCTGCCATGGGCAGGGACACCTCACACTAAACCATGTTGCCCAAGGCTCTGTCCAACCTGTCCTTGAACACTGCCAGGGATGGAGCGTTCACAACTTCCCCGGGCAACCCATTCCAGTGCCTCATCACCCTCACAGTGAAGAACTTCCTCCTTACATCCAATCTATACTTCCCCTGTTTAAGTTTGAACCCATTACCCCTTGTCCTGTCACTACAGTCCCTAGCAAAAGGTGCCTCTCCAGCATCCGTATAGGCCCCCTTCAGATACTGGAAGGCTGCTCTGAGGCCTCCACGCAGCCTTCTCTTCTCCAGGCTGAACAGCCACAACTTTCTCAGCCTATCTTCATACGGGAGCTGCTCCAGTTCCCTGATCATCCTCGTGGTCCTCCTCTGGACTTGTTCCAACAGTTCCATGTCCTTTTTATGTTGAGGACACCAGAACTGCACACAATACTCCAGGTGAGGTCTCAGGAGAGCAGAGTAGAGGGGCAGGATCACCTCCTTCAACCAGCTGGTCACGCTCCTTTTGATGCAGCCCAGCACACAGTTGGTTTCTGGGCTGCAAGCACACACTGAAGCTGGCTCATGTTAAGTTTCTCATCGACCAACACCCCAGGTCCTTCTCCGCAGGGCTGCTCTGAATCTCTTCTCTGCCCAACCTGTAGCTGTGCCTGAGATTGCTCCGACCCAGGTGTAGGACCTTGCACTTGTCACGGTTAAACTTTATCAGGTTGGCATCAGCCCACCTCACAAGTGTGTCAAGGTCCCTCTGGATGCCATTCCTTCCCTCCAGCATATCAACCGAACCACACAGCTTGGTGTCTTAGGCAAACTTGCCAAGGGCACACTCAATCCCACTGTCCATGTCTCTGATAAAGATGTTGAACCCTGTTTTTCCCTTAGTCTATCAAACATTATTCTGTATGGAACACTGCATAATACAAACATACAGCCAGGCTTTTCAAAATATATAACAGAAGAAAATGAAATATCCCAAATATTCCACTGGTAATATTCAAATAAGATACTGTACTCATTATGTGTTAATTAGCCTGCTAAAAACAAATTGTCACAACTACTTGCCAGAACTGATATGTACTTGAGGATGACAAAAAACAGTAGCTCTTAATAAAAGCCCAGGATTGAATCTGGTTAATCACACTGCAATCACACAGCCTACCTCACAAGCGTGTCAAGGTCCCCCTGGATGCCATTCCTTCCCTCCAGCATATCAACCAAACCACACAGCTTGGTGTCATAGGCAAACTTGCTGAGGGCGCACTCAATCCCACTGTCCGTGTCAGCGACAAAGATGTTGAACAAGACTGATCCCAACACCGATCCCTGAGGAACACCACTCATTACTGGTCTCCAGCTGGACATTGCGCCATTGACCACAACTCTTTGCGTGCGGCCATCCAGCCAGTTCTTTATCCACCCAGTGGTCCACCTACCAAACTGATGTCTCTCCAATTTAAAGACAAGGATGTTGTATGGGACAGCGTCAAACGCTTTGCATAAGTCCAGGTAGGTGACATTAACTGCTCTACCCCTGTCTACCAGCTTTGTAGCCCCATCATAGAAGGCCACCAAATTGGTCAGGCAGGATTTCCCCTTAGTGAAGCCATGCTGGCTGTCACCAAGCACCTTGTTGTTTTTCATGTGCCTTAGCATGCCTTCCAGGAGAAACTGCTCCAAGATTTTGCCAGGCACAGAGGTGGGACTGACTGGTCTGTAAGTCCCTGCATCATCCATTTTCCCCTTCTTGAAAATGGGGCTTCTATTTCCCTTTTTCCAGTCGTCGGGAACTTCACCAGACTGCCATGATTTTTCAAATATGAAGGACAGTGGCTTAGCAACTTCATTTGCCAGCTCCTTCAGAACCCGCAGATGGATTTCACCAGGCCCTATGGACTTGCATACATTCAGGTTCTTAAGATGGTCTCGAACCAGATCCTCTCCAACAGTGGGCCCAGGTCTTCGTTCTCACAGTCCTTTTGGGGGTAAGGGCACTGCTACCCTGAGAATACGTGCTCACCCTCAGCTGCGTAACAGACAAGTTATTAAGCCACTCTTACTTGTCTTACCTGAGGTCCCTTTGAACAGATTTTTAGAAAGCTACCAAAACTTCCTCTCGTGCTCATCAACAGGGAAGGGCTCGTTGGAAATGTGATGCTCCAGGGCAGCCTTGGATGCAGCGATCATGAGATGGTCGAATTCGAGATCCTCAAGACAGTGAGAAGAGCGTGCAGCAAGCTCACTGCCCTGGACTTCAAGAGGGCAGACTTTGGCCTCTTCAGGAACCTGCTTCGGAAGGTCCCATGGGATACAGCCCTAGAGGGCAGAAGGGCCCAAGACTGTTGGTTGATATTTGTTATTTCAAACTGCAGATTCATGCTAATCTTCTACAAAAGATCTTACCACATGTGAAACATTGGCAGAATTAAGTGAAGATTATGTGCATCCCATAATAGGTTTTGAGCAAGTCCTGTTTTCTTTTAATGATAAAGGAGCTGTAATGAAGAGAGCAAGTCTCTAGGGAACTCTCATGGGAGGGAAGTCAAAGCCTATCAGTGGTGACATATTTTAAGGCAGATAATGATACAATGGGCCAAATAATAATAGTAGAGGCAAGCAGCATTTCCTCTCTTGAATTACCCTTCAGCTTCCACAGGCTTCAGCAGCCTCTGCAGCTCATTCGGGGGTTGCTGTGCCCCACTCCTCTGCCTCAGCACTGTCAGCCGTCTTGACAGAAGCTGGAAGACACCTTAGCGTGTTCGTGGCTGCTCAGGTCAGGTTTCTGGAATAGACCTGACTTCTGTGATAAAACTGGCTCTCCAACATGTTTGTTAGAACACACTTTAAAATATCACATAAATCCACTGCCAGTTTTGGAAAGTGAGGTCTCAGAAATACTGCGTTCCTCCAGGCTTTGTGGACACGAGTGGCTAGGCACAGCAAAGAGCCCTTCCCGGTGCAGAGCGACCGAGGTGACTGCAGTCCGGCCCGTGCCGGGGGCTCGAGGCTGGAGATCACCAGCGGCACAAGATGGCTGCCCAGACCTTAGCGGGGCATGGCGGAAAGCAAAGATCACCCAAGGGCCCTGTGGACCGCAGGACAGGGCGGCAGGTACGGTGTCGAGCACGCGCCACAGAAACAGGGCTGGCGACTGAGACTACCCCACCAGGGACAGCATGTGAGGAGGGAACTGGGAGAGCCGTTGGGGGAATGCGCGGGCGGCCACCGGGGAGCCCTGAAGAGGGGCAGGCGGCCGCTGGAACCGCTACTGCATGAGCTTCGCAGGACGGGCTCGTGAGGGAGCCCACCCACAGGCAGCGGGAGCGGAACTCTCCCGCCCCCAGACTCCGCAAGTGCGGCCACTCCGCGGCCACCCCCAGCCCGCCGCGCCGTGTCTGGCCCCTGCTTCCGCCGGCGCGGGCTGTGGCGGGGTGGTGGCAGGGGCCGAGCTGCGCTGGGCAGCGGCCGGGCGTGGGGGGCAGTGCGTGGGGGACAGTGCGGGTCGCCGCCGGGAGCCATGGGCCAGGAGTTGCCGTGGCTCAACCACTCCGGCAGCCCACGGGCGGCAGGCAGCGGTTGTACGGGGGACGGGCAGCGCGGAGGGCCCTTCGCAGCCGCCACCGCCGGGCTGCTGGCGGCTTTCATGGGGCTGCTGGTGCTGGCCCCCGTGCTGGGCAATGCCCTGGTCATTCTGGCTTTCCTGGTGGACCGGAGCCTCCGTAAACAGGGCAACTTCTTCCTTAACCTGGCCATCGCCGACCTCCTGGTGGGTATGTTCCGGGGCGCTGGGAGGGGCAGAGGGCACCGGCCCGTGGGGCTGCCGTTGTCACCGCCGAGCTGTGTCCGCAGGCGGCTTCTGCATCCCACTGTACATCCCCTACGTGCTGACGGGCGAGTGGAGACTCGGCAGGGGCTTGGGTAAGCTGTGGCTGGTGGTAGACTACCTGGTGTGCACCGCCTCAGTCTTCAACATCGTCCTCATCAGCTTCGACGGGTTCATCTCGGTCACCAGAGCGGTAAGGGCTGGGCAGGGGTCGGGGGGCTAGGTGGGCTGCCCTGTCAAGCAGGAGGATTTGCTTCAGTCACCGGGCTCTCAGCCCCATCGCACCTCACTCAAACCCCTCAGCAGACAGGGGAATCAAGGCAGTTCCCCTCGGTCCTGGAAATAGTTCTGGGAGTAATCAACTTTGGCACAAAAGACATTTGCTTCTCACTTTCACACTGGAAGAGGTATTCTGCTTTACCAGCAGGCACAGCCTTAGCTGCTGCTGTTTCAGCTGAGTACTAGAGAGGTTTCACTTAGTTATTTTTCAGCCCACTGCCCCACCTACATTTCCTTAAAATGTTATTTTAGTTTCATTGCTCATTCTAAGTCACACTAAAAGACAATTATGCTTTTTGGCAAACAGCACAAAGAGGCTGCAAGATAATTTTAACAATTCATATGCAATGATGTTTTAACAAATTCTTTTTGAAGAGGGAAAAATGAACAGATTCGTAAACAGTCAACACACAGAATTCCTTTATTTTCTAGGTTCTGAATTAGCCATGATTTTTGCTTTCATAAAACAAACTCATTACTATCCCAATAGTATAAATATAAACTGGATGGTTTCAGCAAGGAAAACTGGTTATAATAAATTATAATAATTAGCCACTTTTACATACTTCAGATCAATCCCCATATAAAAATGCCTTCCCAGGCAAGAGTACAGAAGCTGCCAGTTGGATTAGGGCAGTGTAATAACATATAAGCAGGAATTTCTGAAGGTCTAAATTATTCTCCATATCAATAAAAATGCTAATCTTCCTACAAGACTGCCCCTGAAATCATTCATAGCTTTCTTAGGGATTGCAAAATCAGACCCGATTCAGACAAACTCAGGATTCCTCATCTTTGTGGATATTCTACCAGAACAGCATTGGCTTTGGAGAGTGAGATCCACAGACTGGGGCAGTAATCATGAATCCTATACAGAATTCAAGCTTGAGGACTTCATAACCCAAAACACTGTGTGGCCACATTAAAGCTGTGAAGACTGAATTCCAATTCACTATATGAATGTTGTCCAGTACACCAGGGAATTAGCCTGTTGAGAAGATCATCTTGATTTTAAGATTCTACTGAATGTTACTGCTCATATGGTTTACTGACATAATTTTTTTGTACCTTAGTTTCTTTATTTTCTAAATAAGGGAAATCAGTTACTCTTCTTGTAAAGCACTTTGCGGACCACAACACTCCATCTATACATCTTAATTGCAGAGAAGAGTTCTGCAAGTCTTCAAAAAAGAAAGTCATGAAAGAATGAAATTAATCATACCAAACAAAATTAAAAGCTGTTTCTTGTGGTGCTATTTTCACATTAAGGAAAAAAAAGGCTATCTTTCTACAAAGCACAAAGAAAAGAACTTACATGGATGTTCTATGAATTCACATGCTTTTATGTATTTGAAATTAAACTATTTAAAAAAATCTAAATAAGTGGATTCTGAAGTGCTTCTTTTAGACGTTATGTAAACTGGTGTCACAGGTAATGCGACTGAATACACAAGCAACTGGTGACAACCACTTCTAGGAATAGCGGCAGTTGTTTGCCTTGGAAAAGCCTTGGTTTTCCAGCTTTTAAGATCTGATGCACATTCTCAAAACATATCCAGCCGCCTTGATACTGTTTGTTGGAATTCCTATTTCAGAAACAGCTTTTCCATGGTACTGGTAAGCTTGGTATAACCCCTCACCCCTAAACCAATACATTATCAACCCTCACAAATCACTGAGGGGGCCATCTCCAGACGACCATGTTTGAGATACTAGTAATGTATGTGACTTCACTTCTCTCTCTCAGGTCAGTTACTGGGCTCAGAAGGGGATGACCAGAAATGCAGTGCTGAAGATGATCACTGTATGGATTGCTGCTTTTCTTCTCTACGGTCCAGCCATTCTGAGTTGGGAGCACATTGCCCAAAAGAGCATTCTCCCTGAAAGAAAATGTAATGCAGAATTCTTCTACAACTGGTATTTCCTAATGATTGCCTCTACTATTGAATTCTTTACACCTTTCATCACTGTTACATACTTTAAGTATTTACCTCAACATCAGGAAATGCACATCCCTCAGGAAAGAAAACCTACCACCTCTTCAAGAGGACTGTGAAATGAGTTTCCCAGGGGAAAAAAGGGAACACACTCTATTTTTTGTAAAACCTGCTGACAGACACAAACATGAGAAGAGAGCTAGTAGCTTTTCTCCCCCCAAAAAGGCTTCAAGGGTTAGCAAACATAAGCATGGCAATCAGTCACAAAATTTGAATGTCAGTGAAGACCTTCCACCACTCCAGGTGGAAGTCGAGACCAAGCCTCATAGGAGTGGTTTCTACAAAACTACAGAAGGCATATACAGCACTATCAGCAGAGTGGACACGGCTGACACCATGGCAAACAGATTTAGACTTTCCCGGGATAAAAGAGTAGCAAAGTCTTTAGCAATTATTGTATGTGTGTTTGGTTGGTGTTGGGCCCCATATACACTTTTGATGATCATCAGAGCAGCTTGCCATGGCCACTGTGTTCAGTATTCACTCTATGAGACCTCATTTTGGCTTCTGTGGGTGAACTCAGCCATTAACCCTGTTCTATACCCTCTGTGTCACATGAGCTTCAGGAGAGCCTTTATAAAACTCCTGTGTCCGGGAAAAGCCAAAATTCATCCTCATATTTTTATGTGAAAAGCATGAAGTATCTTCCTTTCAGTGGGAGCATGAACTGGCTAATACTGATCTGCAAATACTACAATCATCCACATAGCTGGAGAAATCACAGCAATGAAGAGAAAGATAATTTCTCAAAGCTCTTTGGGAATTATGACGACAGTATATTTTCTGGTAATGGTGCACTAGCATTACAGTGCTGAAAAGGGAATACAACATTTATGGCCAATAATAAAAGTTCAGGCTCTTTCACTTTTCATGATTGTAAATCCTGTTGGTAAGGAATTTCATAAAGTCTTAACCTTGAACCTGTTACATTTTACCCCCAAACCCACTCTAAGATACCAAGGGTCTCAGCTGTTAAATGTAGGATGCTTTTCCCTCCATTTAGTGACAAGCCAGATGAGATCATGACCAATGCAAAAAACTAAATACTGGTGTCTAGGAAAAGCATGGAACAAGAAGAACCGGACTGGTCAGGTTAACAGAGCAGCTGATCAATTGTAGCAGGTAAGACAGCACTGATTTCAGTGGAAAAGGTGACTAAGAAATTGTAGAACTAAGTTCAATAATAGGAATAAAAAAGGTGTTTGAGCTCTGGATATAAGCTATGAGAATTGAGAGGGTTCATGTACTGGATGAGTTTCCCACCTCAGCTATGATTTCCTCCCTGCCCCTGCCTGGATCCTGCATTGGCAGGAATCTACTCAAGTCAAGCCTCCGCTCCTCCTCACAAGACTGACAAGTATTACTCTTCTATCTTTTGCTGTAAGTATTGAGTAAGCATGATTAGTCTGAGATGTATGTCAGACAGATCTTGCTATAGACACAGCTTTAGGTAAACTTCGCTTGGAGTAATTTTTACATTTCCAATTAGCCTTCTACTAGCTCTGAAAAAATGTTGTCTTCCCCTACCTAATCCATTGGATCAAGTCACAGTGGAAAAAAAAAAAAAAAAAGATCTGAAGTGTTCAGACATTTTCAAAGTCATGCATCACGAAAACCACAACTTAGAAAAGTCTGTTAAACTTTATAGCCTTGCTACTGTGTGTTTGAAAATCAAGAACCAACAACTACATACTGCTGTTGCCATTTTGCCTCTGCCACTAGAGAAGCTTGAACAGGTAGATCGCAAGTTTTGACTAGACTTGTCCTATAAGAGGTATCAGTTTGAACATCATTAGTGTTCAAATGAACTTTGAACATCAAGTTTATTTCCACCATCATAAGCATTTTCTGCATAGGTGAACAGACACTTTACTGGCAGGTGATAGCTACTGAACAGCTGTAGTTGTCCACTGCCACAGCCAAAATGCATATTAGTACAGTCAATTTTAAAGTTTAAAGACAGTATTTTGAAATCATTTACTTTGTAAAATTTCAATAAAAGCAATTATAACTGTGGACGAGTTGTAGCTTTGTAGCCTTAACAAGTGGTACACGGGAAAAAGCAGTAGCTACAACATTTGGGTTACTGCAGTTGAAACCACCACAAAACGGTTATTCAAAGACAGTTCCTAAGTTGCAAGGGCCAGCCTTGAGCTTTAAACAAACATGGTTAGCAAATACTGTATACTAGGAGGGCATATTGCTACTACATGAGTGGATCTACACGAACATGATCACCATGTTCTGCTATGGATGTTTTATAATAAAACAATCAGCTTAAGAGTTCTCTTAGGAGGAACATTATCCAGATACAAAGCAACATAAAGGTTTTTCAACAGCATTAATTACATCGCTTGGGCAAGTAAAGCCATTAGATCATCTACTCATTCCTCCTCCCCTCCAAGACAGACTTACACATCAGTAGATCAATGAACTTGTTGTCTACTCCCTAATTCCTGTTTCTTAGGATCATATTTGCCTTTTTTATAAAACATGTTACACTAAATTATTGGAGTCTTATTCACTATCTAATCAAGCCAGGTCAATTTTCACAAGTGGTCAACTCAAGAAATAAGGAAGTTCAATCAGTTAAACTTTAGAACATTACATTCAGTTAAGGTAAAACAAAATTTCAAAGCTTTCAGCAACTGGCATTAACTAACAGACCAGACCGGTTTTCAAAGGAGTTGCCATTGGCAATTGTTCTACCACTCTGTTTCCTGTGGCTTTTCATGTAATTGCCACTCATTCTCATTACTCTAGCACAGACCCAGAATCCAGTAGGGTTTTCTACCCTCAAGAGATGTCATAAAAGCATTCTGAAATGTGAACACACATCATCTTGGCATCAGTTGGAAAAATACTGTGTTTGAATGATAAACTTCCACATCAGAAACACAGCAGCCTCCCAGCTTCTCCAGGTTAACTATGCTTTGCTTCTTCTGTCCCTATAGAACAGAAGTTCTTTTGGTTTTATCAAAAGGTTCAACATTAACATTGGATTCAACAGTGGGCTCTGAAGAGACATGAAACAACATGCGTTAATAGCAACTTTATTGTTTCACTGGTGCAAAATCATGATACTGAATAAACTTGTGTAATGTGTTTCCCCCTAAATTTACAGTAATGAAGGTTATACATATCTATATAGATTGCAATTTCTCTATTTTTATACTATTTGGAACAAAGTTATCTTGATAAATATACCCTGTGCACAGTATTGGTCCTCACTGAATGTCACAGAGCCTTAATATGCAAAATATAACTTCTGGTTTTGAACGTGGTGCTTTAAAATTCTCCAAACATGCATTAATATATTCTAGTTTTTAGGGAAAAATATTACACTTAGTCTTAACTTGCATTAGAAGAAAAGCACAAGCAGAATCTGACATACAATAATCCCAAAAATCTGATGCTCTGTATAAGGATCAGACATAGTTTCAGACGAGTCACTGCCAATTTAGAACTCTAGTGCTACAGAAGCAACAGTGAAAAAACAAGAAAATTCAGAACCTAAAGAACCTTACCATGTTACATGGATTTCAAAGAAAGTTTCAGCCATGCTAACTGACAAAACCTGCAGTTGCTGGTCCAACCTTTCAAATTGTTAAGAGTACCCCACGCAAGTGTTTGAAGTGTCAGACTGAACACGCAAATGTTAACTTGACATTTCCGAAAGGCTCAACCTATAAATCTACCTTACAAAGAAAAACAAATAAACCATACGGTATGTAAATGAAAAGAAGTAAGTACAGTGTGTATCCTCCTAAAGAACAAGACCTTCATAAATTGGCCCCTCGGATTCTGGTGATTCCCTCCTCAGACGCAAGTGCTCCAGTGTGTTGTGAAAGTGTTTGTTAATTTGTTCTGTTTCTTCGGTAGACTCAAGGTTTGGGAGATCTTCTCTTATCTTCTGTATCAGCTGATTCAAAACCTGAATTGTCACCTACACGAGAACATAAACAGAAGCCATCAGCAAGACCCGCATAGAAGTGCATTGACGTTGGCTTTAACAGACTTGTGTCTAAACTGTTTGTATTTGGACAGTTCTTAGAAATATTGGCAAGGCTGCATGCAGACAAACTGCTGGAGACAGCCTTCTCTTGCTTCTCATAGGGCTACTCTGATTTCAGAACTTTGTGGAAATTGCCCCCATGCCAGCAAATGTAACGAGTTTAATCAGTCATTAATCTGATAGATTTATGACTTTTACTACAGCATTTCTCTTATTCAACATAAATTGAAAAAGCTTTAAATAAAAAACCCAGATAATCAGATTGTCTGTGTGCTCTAATATAATCTGTTTCTTGTAGAAGTCAGCCAGGATTGTCATACCAGATTTAAAGTAGTTCTTAGTCACTAAGTCACTGCCTAGGAAAGCACATTTGCCTAGCGAGTCCTGCAATACACAGAACACCACTGAATCCAAAGACTGTTTCTACATCTGCCAATAGTTTTGGAATTCAAGATTTTATTTTCATCTCCATCAGATACTGCATCTCCTATGCTAGAACACTACAGCAGGAAGCCAGTTCAGTTGTTGTGAAGTCAGCAAATCCCTAAAATCTCTTTAGACATTCTTTCGGAAGTACAGGGTATTCATCAACATCTGCTCTTGACCAAATAATGACACTGGGGGGAGGGGGGGGGTGTTGATCTCTACTTGACCAAACAGCTTTTTCAAAAAGTTTACTTTTTACTGTTTACTAACAGCGAGTATATGCAACAATTATCCCAGATTGCAGATGCAGAATTTAAACAGGTACACGAGATGTCATTATCTGTTTCTCAAAACTAAAGCTTACACCAACCATATGATACACTCAGCAGTGACCTTGAATCACTACCTGAAAGTAACGACTTTCTTTCCCTTATGGACATATTAAGTTATGTACCTGTAAAGTTAGATGAGCAAGTAGTAAAATTACAAGTCCTAGTAAGTTTTAATCTAATAAATATTTCTGGTATCTAAGTCCCACAACATTTAAATTCATAACTAGACGGAAAACGTTTGGTGTTTTCACCCATGTAAGAATGAAGCTTTATCCCAAATATTACTACCATATCCAGAATTTGCTACTCTTACTGCCAGAACTTGTGCCTCTTATAACTACAGAGCAAGCTGAAGACACATGATTTGGGGTATAAGCATGAATGAAGAGCTTAAAGAAATCCTCTTTTAAAAAGATGCAATAGAGAGAGTGCATTTCCACTCACTGCCTCATTTTCCTTTTCATAAAAGTAGATGTATCTGTTCAGAATTTCTATGAAAAGCTGGACTTGCAGAGAGGGGTCCATGCACTGATTCGCTATCTTTAGAGCCTTCTTTAGGCATTCCATCACTCTTTTTCCTCCATGAAGCTAGAAGGAAAAAAAACAAAAGATTAGAAGATAAAACAACCTTAGGGAGCTCCAGTATCTCTTCCCTTGGCACATTTCCGGGTGGTCCACTACAAACAGAAAACTACACAAACTGCGCAAACAAGCTGTCATTGAAAGATTGACAGTTTAAGTCTTGTTAAATCAGGCAAAAACATGAACAGTTGTTGATAGCCCTTGATAATGAGATGAATGAACTCAATCTTGTAATATGTACACTAATGCATACTTTGAGAAACAGATTTCAAACACTGTTTTTCACAATTACAACAGTTTATGTCACCAGCCCAGAAGAACACATAATTTTTTTTTTTTTACATTTAATTTCAATAATGCGTATCTTTAACTTGGAAGTTTAGTAGTTCACATGTAAGACATCTACAATAACAGACATGCAAAATGCAGACTCCAGTCTCCAACTCCTCTCCGAAGTTTGAATGGTACTTCCACCCTTAAAATTGAGTTGTCTCCATTTTTGTATGTATGCAGCTTGCACTGCAGTGCGATTTAGCAGCTTTATACATTAGAACACATTTCAACAAAGTCTGCATCACTAAGTGGTATATCTACTTCAAGTGCCTTCAGAAGAAAGGCAGAGCAAGGAGAAGGAAGGCAGAGGTAGGATGTGTTACACTGCTGTCCCTTTATTCTTACCTCCTCTCCGTTCTTGTCAGTATTTCGGCCAGACCAAAAGAGATGGGCACAAGTACTCACAGCCCGGCACTGGTCTGGCTTCTTAAGGAGCTTAGAGGCCGCCAGTGCACACTGAGTCCTCAAAGGCTCGTGGTTCTCCTCACTGAAGCACTTCATCCTCTCAAATGTCCCGATTATCAAGGTGATTGCAGCCAGCTGTGCTTTTGAATCACTAATTTCATCTTCATACAGAGAGAAGGCCTAGTCAAAGGAGAAAGCAAGACTTAATCACTGCTTTAGAACACATCAGCAAAAAACCCCAAATCACACGTGCCAGTGACAAGGCAGTAAAGTGTCCAGTTTTACATTAGTTAAAAGCTTCAGGCAGGAAAACAGATTTTTCACTGAGACTGTCAAAATTACGTTAAGTACACAGACTGGAAATAAATCTTCCACAAAATACTTAAGTGGTCATAGTAAACAAATGTGATTCTACATATAACCTGAAGATTGAGTTTTTCCTCATTTCAAGCATCTGTTTGAATATGGAACCTCTTAACAGCTGTAGTCCCTGAAGAGCATTTGGTTCTTTGAAACACACAGAACAGTAGAGCAAAGTTGAGAGGTAGGTCAGTAACCAGAGTAGGTAAAAATCATTGGCACTGCTGCTACATGGATGAAAAGCCTTGAGAGAAAATATGAGACTAAAAATCTTACGAATCTATGAATCATCTCAAATAGAAGGCATGTAACTGCCAT